CAATGACGCCGGGCCTAACTGTATCCCTAAGCCTCTGTAAACCGTTGGTTGTAGTTCGTGCTGCAAGCTCGGCCCTGCAAGGAAGGCTCCGGGCTTCGAGGTTCTGTGCAAACATGATCTGTGATCCTGTTTGTGGCCATTTGTGCTTGGCACCTAGGATGCCACGTTCTTTGCATCTAACATCTCCAACGTACATCTGCACTATTGGCAAACGACTACGTAAGTTAAACCCAATAGCGCTACTTCGAGAGACTGTCTAAAGCGCAGGCGACGGACTGTTGAAGCTTGCTGTGCAGAAGCTCGAGGAGCAAAAGGCTGGGTCTGGGCCCAGATGAGTCAGCCATTAACATCTGCGGACCATGCCCTGCGAGTCTTGTGAGACTGGAGCTTCAGGCAGCAGCACCAGGCTTCCTCGATACGGCTCTCGATGCTTTCGCAAGCCACAGCTCGAAGAAAGGTGTCCTCGGAGTCGGAGTGCTTCTTGTAAGCACAAGTTGCACCAGTTGTAACGCAAAAGTTGCAGGTGTTCTCGTTGTTGATGTTGTTATGGATGTCACAGTCCTTGAAAGCTCCAGCTTTTTGGGTGAGACTGCTCGTGCGCGTGTGCCTCCGGTGCAGTGGATAGCGAGCAGCGCTCGGATGCGCTTCACTCCACGCCATGCTCAAAAACTGAGAATACTGCCTCAGGATTGCGCTTCAACGCTGTGTCGATCAGGCACGTGCGGCAAAAATCCAGGCGGGGCAGTTCTGCTGCGAACAAGTAGGCTTGGCAGAGTCTTTTCAACCGGACCGGCGCAGCGGCACCTCGAAGCCAATCGAAGCCACCACGGCACTGCATTGATTGAAGTTCACATGTGCAACAAAGCGTGCTTTCCAGAATGCAGTGAGCCAAGACAGATGAGGCAATCAATGGAAGCATGTGTGGACAGTGTAGGCGATTCTTCAAGTCTTTCCAAAAGCCACGCCTTCGTTCCCCGAGGACTCCACCAAACTCCATCGAGTTGAAGCAAAGCTTCATCTGCCGCTTCGTCCTGCACTTTCCATATCCTGGGGCCTGTAGGTGACGTGGATATGCGCTGTACTTTCGTGCTTCTGTTGCAGAGCAGTCTGCACCCCAGGTTGTGCGAACGCAAAAGAGAGTCACTTGGCTTGCAAGCGACAGCTTGAGCAGCCTGTGGACCCGTTTCTGGTGCGATATCTTGAGCATGTCGCAGAAAGTCACGGCCGCAGCAGAACGAAAATGGCTCAGGGATCCCCAGGCCGAAGCACATCTTGCACATGGATTTTGGAATCCAGTTTCGGCGTTTCGGGTTGCCAAGGATTGCGCTACTGAAGGCAGCGATGGCAGCGGAGGACAAAGCCACAGCAACCCGAGTAGCTGGATATATTCGGACTGTTTGACTCTTTGACAAGATGAACAGCGCCGTCTGATATGCAAAGTTCCGGACTTCCAGGCCGCGTTTTCCCAAATCAGGCACCATGCCCACCTAAGTTCGCAACCCGATATGGTTAGCTGGGCAGTGTTTGCCCCTGAGCCGAGAGAATACGAATAATCAGTTTCAGCGAGACTTATCCCCCTAATCTTATGTCAATGTTACATATGTTTGCTGGACTCACTGCAGGATGCCTGGCTTCTCAAGGCGGCCACAGAGGCTGGCGGCTCAAGGGTGTTTGGGCATCAGAGTTGCAAGCACAAACATGAGAGATTGAAGTGCTCCAGCTTGAAGTGTGCATGGTGGAGCTTGCAGCCTCTTCTTATGTCGGACACAGAGTTGGACTGCTTCTCGATAAGCCCCATTTCCAGACATTGCAACACCGTCAGCAGGAGTGTCGTCAGCGCTTCGGGGAAGTGACCTTTGGCGACTTGCTTTCTAGCGAGCTGGCACACCTTGCCAGTCGTCATTGTTCTGAATGAGTATCCTCCTTCGCATAGCACCTGGCAAACAAGCAAAGCTTTGGACCCTTGTTAATATCTGCCAATGTCTCGCGTAACCTGTGCATCCAGAATTAACACCACTTACCGTTGCCATTCAACCATCTTTGTCACTAAGGCGTCGACCTAACGCTGGCCAAATGTCAACTCGAGATTTGGGAGAGAGCTTCTTCTGCACAAGCATCTCGGAAGAAGTGGCTCCGCACGAGACCTGTTGCAGCAGACTGGGGTCACGCTGTAGCGATGCATGTGACGGGTTAGGGAAAGTACTGCTTTCGCATGTTGCCTTTCGCTGTCCGGCGGATGTTCCACTTCCCTTCTCATCGGGTAGGTCTACTACCCGACTCACAGGTGGACCCCGAAGAGTTTCTAGAACATACAACTCGAAATGGTTCGCCGTCACAACGCGAGGGGTTGTGAGCTAACGAAATCTTCCAAAGCAAAATGCCCAGCTGGCCTAGACTGGCCTAGACCAATTCCACGAGAAGTCTAAATCCCCGCTGCACTCAAGAGAACCGTGCTTGGATGAATGGCTGGTTGGTCCTGATCACAGCCTCGTGATGCCCAGGATGTCCATGGGCATCTGCCCCCAACTTCAAGCCCCCAGACTTTCGCGAGGCTTCGTGTCCAATTTTCGGTGACGGCCTTGAGAAGCAGGCAGTGGCATCGACCACCAGCGAAGCGCGTCGACCGAGCAGCCTCAGGCCCTTCCTGCTGTTTTGTTGGAGCCCGTATGCACAATAGACTTGCAAAGTTATATGCTGCGGTACGAGTTGGGGGGATTAAATAGTTTGCATTTGTTTGCCCTGTGGTCCTCCTGTCCTTTGGTCCTCCAGTCCTCTGCAGTCCCCTTGGCCTGCAAGTGCATCTGGTGAAAGTCGATTTCTCGCAGCCTCCTTGCGGGATTTTGGAGCCTGCAAGTACTGGCAATTGCAGCATGTCAGGGCAGTTAAAATGTACAGCTCGTTGCGCTGCGCCCCAGGGGGTGCTTGGAGTGCTGCAAGCATTTTTAGGGGCACATGACTTCGAGTTTCACACGGGGTACTTGGCTGCAAGTATTGGTACATTCCAATGCAGCTTTGGGGTCATGTAGGTCGTGAAACTGTTGGCCCGGCCCCACCCCCCAAAGACATACCAAGCCAATTCTCAAACTACTTCCGGGCCAAATCTGGAGGTTGTCGTCGTAGTTTTGCCTTTGATCTTGCAAATCTTTCCTTTTCATTACCTCTTGTGCTTACATGACCTTACATTGCATCATGCACAATGTGACTATTGCAGTCACTGTATAGCAAAGCCATGCATGCCCGTAGGCTTGCATCCCGAGCGACTTCGAGCGAGCCTGTGGATTTGGAGCGCTCCGACGTCCTCGCGCCGCTTGCCTTGGGCGCACCGGTGGTCTCGACTTCTTCGGTGCCTCCCCTTCCCGCGCAGGAGGCCTTAGGGTGTATCCACACAGCCAAACTTCTCCTTTGCTGCAAGCTGCCGCACGCAGGAACGTGCCGTCACTGCCCTGCGTGCTGCCATGTTCCAGGAGCCTCCGCAGGCAGGGAGCAGTTTCAAGCTGGGACAGAGATCAGCGTGTGTGCTGGTGAAGAGGCGGGCCTCCTGCGATTGGCCATCGCCCGAGCTCGTCGTGCCGGCGTGGCCAAGGAGGAGGTTAGCAAGGCCGCTTGTGACGCCCCATTCTGTGGCGCGTATCCATGCTGTTGCCCGGAGGCAGAAGCTGTCTTGCAGGAGGAGCGTGAGGCCACCTAGAAGTTGGGCCGACCGGGGATAAACACAGACTGTGACAAGCATGCGTGGAGTGAGGCAGACCTCGGGCAAAGTTCATAAACAGTCGGTGAGTCGTCTTGGGTACCAACGACATCCTGCTACTGTATGGGACTGGCTGTTGAGCTCATGACTTCTTGGCCGAGGGCTTGAATCTGAATTCTTGGAGTCTTGCCAGGTATATTGTAGTGCATACATCCTTTAAATGAGCCCAGAGTGAGTAGTGCGGCTACTGTATTGTACGATGGCACTGCTAAGCCGAGGCTTTATTCTACTCTGCTCGATGACAGGCGGAACAGGCTTTGGAGCAGCTTCGCCGAGCTGCCGCGGCACGGGACGTCCGTGCCCTGCGCCGTGCCATCGCAGACTGTGCAGATGCAGGGCACCCCAGGGTGTCAGTAGCTACGACATATTGTTGCGACGATGCCTCGCGGTGACTAGTGACTGGTAACTACGATGGTACCTGATTTTTCTGGTTGTTCTTCCTATTAGTCTTTGTTGACAAGCTGGCTGTAAGCTTCAAAGGAGCTCAGCGGTTTCTGGCTTAGGGCTAAGTGCAAAGCGTATGTGATGATACTCAGGCGATTGCACAAGTCCTAATGCAAAAGGCTTAAGAGGCGGAGAGGGAGCAGCTTTGTTCTTGTGCTAGTATCACGTTTGATAGGACCTGTGTTGACTACACATGTTCTGGCTGTTGTACACAGCATGTCTCAGTGTTCTTGTTGAGTCTCAGTGGTCCAAGCTTGTGGGAAGCTAGAAGGGTGGCACGTGGTAGCACGCAGCTAGGTGCGGCTTGTAAGATTGAATGCCTTTGAAGCGGGGCGTTTGCATGTCGAGATACAGTGCGCAAGACAAGTACTGCAGCTGATTGAAGTCATGCACATCGATGTTCCCTGAGCCGCACTTCGAGGGAGCGCTTCATAGCTTCGCCCTGGGATACGGTAGTACTCCTCAACATAAAATATTTGCGTGTCCACATCGAGCATCCTAGCCTGGCAAGGCTGGGGTGGATCAGGGGCGCTTGCTGCCGGCATCCACACAGCTCTGCGATGCGCTGGGGGAAGTTTTGAAGCAGTGGAGTTGAGTAGAGTCAGGAGTCGCGCCTGTGGGTTCAATTCTCTCAACTTTCCGAAGGTTCCCCGATATTGCCCCGGATGGCTTTCATTCAAGCTCCGAACGCTAACTCAAGCCTTTGTTGTTGCTTTGTGGAGCATTTGATGACGGTGCCGTCGTGGGACCTGCTGCCTTTCCAGTGTTCGCAGGCCTTTAAAACACAAGGCATGTCCTGGAGAGACTGTGGCACTATTGAGTCGTGGGAAGGCTTGATCAGCCAAGGAGCTGCTGAAACGGGCACATCAGCATGGGCTGGCACTGAGTGTGCTGACAGAGTCTTGGCTGTAACAGGCCGACCCTAGCCTGTTTTGCTGAGTTGGAGGGTTCGTGTCGGAGACTGCGTTGCCATATTTGGCGCCTCCAACCCGTGCCTTCCCGTTCAGATGGCTTCGCAAGACACGGCTATCGACCCGAAAGCAGCTATTGAGGACCTGGATCGCGAAAGGCAGGAGCTGCGCTACAGCCTTGCAGAGAAACGAAGTCGCCCGGCTGGAGGGTGGGGTCGGATTACGGCACTAATCAGTTCCAGGGCACGGTCGGCAAGCAACCATGCGGTTCACTATCCATGCTTGTAAGTGGTAGCGGAGCTGCCACTAGTCGCGATAAAGCCTTGTCGAGTCTTTCGATGTCCTCCTCTTCCCGAGGCGGTTTACGCACCGTTTGCCGTGTGCGGCCTCCGTTGGCCCCAGAGCTGCAGACTGCGCTGCGCAGCCACGCGGGCCTCGCACCTGTCTTGAGGTGCATTGTCTGGTTCGGGGCCTGCGGTGGAGCTTGATAGGTCACAGAAAGGCTCTTGAGCAAGGTGTATCAATTCATCAGCTGGATCTACCAGTCTATCACGTCCCGGAGAACGATCAAAATCTCCTCATGATCTTATCGCAGGCGAGTCGATCGCCGAACCTTGGAGGCTCCTGAGATGTTGAAGCCGTTGCCGGTACTTCGGTCCTAGTCGGGTTTCAATTCCTGACTCGTGCAAGCCAATCCACAGTTCTGTGCCTAATTGTAGGTTCATGGCCGAAGCACTCTGTGTGTCTGAAGGTGGCATTGGCGAGCGGCAGCTATGCCACATGCGACTTCAGTGCTGTACTGGGCCCGGAAAGCACACAGGCATGGACCAGGGTGGTAGCCGAAACATCGCATGTTGTTCATGCAATTTGGACACACTTTCAGTCAGTTTGGTGCACTGATTTTGATATTGTCCTCTATATGCGCTGTCGGTCTAAGAGCCATCAGGCGGAGGTCTCGACTGAGCTCCTGGGCTTGGCACAAGCAGCGATCGACGGAGGCAATGTGGCGGCGGCTTGGCCGAACGGTCTGAGCGTGATCGGCTCAAGAACAGCAAAGGCCGCTGCCAAGGCGCTTGCACATGGTATCGGAGGTTTCTTATGCCTACCACTATTGCCACCCCACTGCCGTTGCTTCAGGTTGTGCTTTTGGTCTATCTAGTGCTATGGTACTTGTGCGTGCTGCTCCTCCTCGTCCACAACTGCCACTGGTGGTGCTGCTGCTGCAGTGTGCCAATGTTTTTGCGGCTGTTTTGTTGGGCCGTTGTACCTTGCTCCGCAGCAACTTTTGACACGGCTTGGACTGCTGTGTGGCGCCGTTGTTCTGAGGAGATGAGTTTAACTCGTAGACTTTGCTTCAGCATGTCGTGACTGCCGTGCACACGACTTCAGTTCTTCAGTTGCTTTTCGGCCTGCTACTCTAACACCGATAATGCACAGAGCGTGTGGCAGTTTGCTTGGGCTGGCCAGTCGGTTCCCATGTGCCGAGACAGATACGCAGAGCAGCTCGATCTAGGTTTGGCCTGCAGGGTGTTCTTTGCGCACGCTTCCTGAATCCTGACGGAAGCAAACGAAAAATCGCTTGATTGAGGTCATTGCTTGTGGCCAGCGTGGTGCTGGCAAGAGCTTCACGCTGCACCTGGGCTTGTTTTGCCTGATCCTGCCTGCTTGACGCTGTGTGCTACTGTCATAAATGTTTGGTTAAGCTGCAACTTACATTGGGTCTTGATCTTTACTGCAGATGTTGAATTGCAGTCCCGCTTGCAGGTGTGGCTCTGCAGATCAGCCTGGGGTTCTACCACGTCTGCTGGAGGCCCTGCACCTGGGCCAGCGATGCGATGCTAGCAATGACACACCCCTCCGTTCCTTCCTGCACTTGAAGGAGCTCTTTGCTATCAAGAGCCGGGAGCACTGGCGCTCGGACACCCACATCGAAACCAGGAAGCAGCTGAGCGGTTCCTACGAAAATGCCAAAACTGCTCTTCAGACTGAGCCTAGCTAGGCGCTGGAGATGCTTGGAACATGACATAGCTTTTTTTGCTGCACCACGCCTAAGCGACGCAAGCAAGTCGGACACTGAGGATGTGCAGGCATTGGAGATCGTGGAGGACGGGCCGCCAAGGGACCTCTTGAGCCAGGCCCGGCTTTTCTGGTTAGGCCTAATTGGGGCCTTCCAGCCTACCACTTCGCTCTACCTGTTTCTGCAAATGTTTGCCACAGGTTTTGGCTCCATGTGTATTCGAAGGTTCTTCTCCCGTAACTGCACTCCTTGAACTTCACTGGCCTCCCAAATGTCAGTCTCCTCCTGACGGGGGGTTGTGTGACAGGCTCGGGGTTCCCGAGAAGCTGCACTCTGCAGCCTCCCGCAAATTGCCACGGTGAGGAAATCCAAAAAGCAAGTGAGCCGAAGAGGAAGCCTTCCAACTCTCGGGCGTGCGCGGTCTCGAACTGTGCACTTGCAACATAAAGGGGTGCCAAATAACAGTGTGAGATACCTGCTGTGCTCCCCATTCTCAGGCTTCGGAAGGCGAGACGGTCGAACAGCGCATCGAGGCGTCGGCTTGGGGATCTTCAAAGTTCAGAACGTTTTTCCTTCGGCCAGGCGATCCGTCCCTGCTGCGCCCAAGGCCTTTCGCGCTTGGAAGATGTTTTCGAGATCTTGCGGGCAAGGAAGTGAGGAAGTCCTCTTTAGGTGCTGCTTTAGCTTGAGCCTCGCTTGAGTTTTTGAGGTGGCCCTGGCCAGCTGTGCTTGGCCGCAAGTGCCGCGATTCTGTCGGGGGCTGCAACTCGCCGTGCAGGAAGGCTCCAAGAGCTGCTCGGCATCAGAGGGCTCGATGTCACATCAGTCCTGCTGGCCGGGAAAGGGCATGTAAGATCTGCTCAGCTGAGGCTGAAAGACTTGGTGCAGGCACGGTCGATTGCCCCTGTGTCCCCACCGGCAATGCCGTCCAGTGCCAGCCGACAGGACATATGGCAGCAACCCTCTACAAATGCCTCGCGTCATGCCGTCCTCATCCTGCAGCTGACAAGACGGAATCGGCTAACAGGCTGGTGTTTTGTAGTTGGGTCTTCGAATGCCCCCACGCGCGCAGCCGACAGCACTTTCCCGCAAAGCCAGCCACATGTTTGCATTGGATGCTTCGTCCTGAAACTTGCCTGCAATGTCCAGCATCCATCTCACTGAGTAGTGAAAGCTGGAATGTTTCGTCTGGTGAGAGGTGTGACCTGTCGAAGCCGCTTCCTGGTCGCGGACCTGGCAGGGGCAGCTCGGTAGGAAATTGGGTCGCAGATGCCTGTTCGCCGGGGAAGGTATAAATACATATAATACATGCGTACATCAACACCGACTGCCAATAAGTTAACGCCATGGTTTCGTTCCTGGTGTGTTTGTTTTTCCATCGAGAAAGGCGTCGTCACCGGCTGCGGACCGCGCACTGAGCTGGGCCGTCGCATGTTCGGCCGGGCACCTGGTGTGAGGGGACATTCGCCCCCGGAGCCATGGCAGCCATCTGGGGAACAATAGACACCCGCTTCTTGGCCAATGAACTGGCGTTGCATTTCAGGCCCGGCAAGGTCCGCGGAGTCTGGGGGTGAGCAGCTCGAACTGGTGCCTCGGCTCAGCTGCCGTTTTGGGGTGTAGGATGTGTAGATTTGCGTTTTGGACGCCAGGCCGTTCTCGGCCAAGGGTGCTTCCTGTGCTGACGGACCTGGCAGCCAGGCGCTAAAAATGCTCCCACGTCGAAGCCTTCTCTCTGATCTGCGAATCTGTGAGCACGCATGCTTCCACGAGTGACCATGAAGCAGGTGCTGGCAGCCTTGCTGCAAGACTGCTTTGGACCGGGCTGTACCGCAACCATGATCGCAGCTCGGGATCAGAAGCGATGAAGTGCACGAGGCAGTTCGTCTCATGCAGCAGCAGCAGCAGCAGCATCATCATCATCATCGACTGCTCACAGGCTTAGGAGAGACAGCTCAGACTCTTATGTAAAGCTATTAAGCACTTTCGATGTACATGTTCCATGGCGTGCATCCATTCTGGTAATGCTCACCCAAGGTGTGTTTGGCACCGATGGCTCCAGACCGTGAGGGCGTTCTCGCGGTGCTTGAGGCCGCATTTGCGAAAAAGCCGTGCGCATACCAGTGTCGCTAAGTTTTTCTAGTCAGCCGCACAAGCCGAGCCATCCAGCTTCCTGAGAAGCTCTGCAGGCACTGGGTTTGCGCCAAAGCGTTGTGCAAACCGCTGACACACGCAACTTGGGCTGCCCTGACGAGAGTCTTCAGGACACGGTGGCTAGGCTTGAACCCTTGTTCAGCATCTGACTCGAGGTGCTGAACGGCGGTTTCAGCCGCCCCCGGAGCCACTGGAGCTCCCTTGCACTCCGAAGACGCCCAAACTGCCGCAATCGCCAGTGTCACCTTGCTCCAATTGTTCGGTGTCGCCGAGACATATGGGTAGAGTCTCAACCCGAAATGCCGCAGGGCCGGATACCCGTTCAAAGAGATTTTGCATGGTGCGCTTTGTGAAGCTTGTGACGGTAATTGCATGTCCGAGTGGGGAGGCCTAGGCTCGGGGGGTGGGCTGTGCCTGTTTTTTTAAGGCTGCTGCAGCAGATGAACTCGTCGCCAGCACGCTTCCCAGATTGGCATTCTCCATGCCTGCTGCTGCACAGAGGGCACCAGCTTTGTTGAGTAGTGTTTTCACAGTGTTCTCGCGTTTGTTAGCACGAGAAGGAAAGTAGCAGTACTAAGCCCAAGGCCCAGTCGCCCACTGCGCAGCTCGCGCGCTCGTCTTCCAACAACTCCCTTTTTCCGACATCGCACCGTGGCTCAGTGGCCCGTAGGAGCGAAGCTCAAGCTCAGAGTTGATCCAAGGCAGCGGACTTCAGACTCGGAGTCTCTCGAGGAGGAGGATCTCTGAGAGGAAAGCTCGGCACTTGCCACTTTCAAGAAGCTAATGCTGTCAACTCAGACCCGCAGTGGGCTCCGAGTTCTCAGTGCAGATCGTATCAACTGCGGTGTAAGCGGTGCTGTGCTCGTTGCTTGAAAATAGCATTGTGTTGCAAGGTTGAGATCTGCACAGGAATACGGTCTAAATTCGGAATGCCTTTGCCCGCACGAGTTCTGTGGACATGTGGCCTAAGGCCACAGGTTCACTTCGAATCGCTCGGAACAGTGGCAGAATCTAAATTTAGGTCCTCTAAGGTGGTAGTGTACTGTATTCGGAGATGCATACGCTGATCGGATAAGTCTGTTCCAACGCAAGCTTGCGATGCTCCTTCTCCAAGCTTCCTTGTCACTCGCAACAGCGACACCATCCGGATGGAACATGGATGAACACGGCACCAGAACAGACCAATAGCTTTGGAGACGAGACTCTTTGCACAGTGAATTCAGGGCATTCCTGCACGACCCCCTCCACTTCCCTTCACCAGGCTCGATTTGAGAATCCTTGGCTTGGCCTTGAAGAGTTTCACTCTGAACTAGCCTGGTTGGAGGTGGGCAGCACGGACATCAAAAAGTCAGAGGCATCTGTGAGCGCGTTAATCCGGCCCAACACCCTTTCTTGGGCTGGGGCTGGCTCATTCGCTCGCCTGGTACTGTATGGCCTTCGGAAGTAGAGACTTGCGCTTGTGCAACAATGCAACAAGTTTGGATGGCGGTGTTTTCCTTCATGAAAAGGTTTGTCTTGACTTACTTCCTCATAGGCAGATGAAACTGGACGGGCTTGTGCTGGTTGTGCAGAGTCTTCACGTCGGAGCCTTTGAGCCTCACTGCTGCGGCACATGCGCACAGAAGACCTGAGCCAGAAGCAACTGGACATTGCTTGTATATGTACAAAAAACACCTTGCAGATAGATAGAAGGATAGATGGATAGATAGGCAGATGGATCGATGGGTCGACAGACAGACAGACTGACAGGCAGGCAGGCAGGCAGACAGACAGACAGACAGATGTTAGTAGCTGTTAGTAGGTAGGTAGGATTTTTCAATCGAGCAAACCGGATGTAGTGTAGAGCAGCACTTCAACAACCACACCAGTGCACCCGTGAACACGGCCTTTTCACGAAAATTGTGCGTACATGCGAACAAGACCGGCCAATACATTTAATGCGACAGCACTGAGACAGCTCAACAATGTTCAAATGGTCCAAAGAAGCCCGCAACTAGTTTGAGCCTTGGTCATGCTCCTCTCCTCACTACTCCAGCGCCCCAGCACCCAATCACAGATACAACAGGCTGCCGCGTCGCGGCACCATTACACTGCAGAGCGCCAAAGCTGGCCCGGGCATGGCATCGAAAGGACGCGGCAAAGCTGCCCAAAAGGGAAAGAGCTACGAGAAGGCTCGAGCTGGCAAAGGCCCGGCCGGCTAACAAATTTGTGAAAGGTATTTGTGCAGACGTGTGAAGAATGTATCTAATGCCCGGAACTTCAGGTGAGACTGAATGACAGCTGTTGCAGCAGCGGCTAGCTGTTTTCGCTGCAAAAGCAAGTGTCGTCGCAGCATCAGGAAGCACAGCAGCAGCAGCAGGAGTAGTGGCAGGAGTAGCAGTAGAACAGTACTGTAGTCGTCGTCGTAGTACTACCCCCAGCAGTAGCAGTAGGAGTAGCCGTAGCAGTAGCCGTAGCAAGCAGTAGCAGTAGCAGTAGCAGTAGCAGTAGCAGTAGTAGCAGTGGTGGTAGTAGTAGTAGTCGTCGTGGTGGTGGTGGTGGTGGCAGTAGTCGCAGCAGCTGGAGTAGCAGCAACCGCAGCAGTAGTAGTCGTAGCGGTGGTTTAGCGGTAACAGCAGTTGGTAGCCGTGCTCGCCATCACAACGACGGACAATGATATGCTAATGGATGCTGTCGACCTTGTTACAGGGCTTTCGGTGGCCTTCTTTGCCGGCAAATTGGTGAAGTCTTGTGCTCATGACATGCTGTCCATGTACTACCAGGTTCATCAACCAGATTCGGCATGAGTGCTAATGACAGACAGATCTGTGGTGGACTCGTAGACGACTTAACGGATCCGGGTCATCCAGGGACCATGCATGTCATTCGTAATGATGATGGAGGGAAAGTTCGCAATGATGATATGGCTACTAGCAGCACATAGCAGCCCTGTTTCCTTGCAGGAGGTTGTATGGAACAAGAAATGCCATCGTAAATGTTGCACGGAAGACAGACTGCAAGCTCTAAAGCGCGATGATGGCCATGGGTAGCCTCATTATCTTTGCGGCTGCACCCATGGCCATCCATGCGTTTCTGTCATCACTGCTGGCTATTTGCATGTGCATGATCCTGGGTTGGGCCTGCTGAGTTTATGGACTTACCTCCTGCAATTCAGAATTTGGGTCCTGCAACAGGTGGCCTGCATGCACCAGATATTGGAGCTATGTCAAAGCCTTCAACCGAATTTACCACTGAGCGTCTACACGCCAGCTCTGTCAGAAGGGGCAGGTTTTCCACAAAGTGTCCGAGGGCATCCTCAAGATCGCGAGGACAAACGATGCCAAACTGGCTGAGACGCTACAGTGTCAACTACGTTAAAAAGACAAGTTGAGAAGCTAGTTCGAGACTTTGCAGGAATCTTTCAACATTAAGGCACGCCTGACGGCCCTAGAAAAATCCCTTGACAGTTTCCTAGAACTTGAGAGCCGCGAAAAATGCATGACACGAATTCGTCAAGCTTGTGAAGATCAAGGAATTCACTGCAAAGCTTTAGTAATTAACAATGAAACTGACTATAAGCATGTCAAAATGTCGTACAGTCACCTCCGGAATGTTTTGGAATCCGAAAGGACACCCGTCCTACAAGGACTGCACGCTCTTCTTTCAACTGGCAGTCGAGGAGGTACTTAGCCACGGTTCATACAACGCGTTGCCAAAACAATCTTCTATCTCCTACTACTGCTGCTCAAGCACGTTCTGTTTCTCAATAAGGTCTAGAGTCTATAGTACCTTTTCTGATCCCCCTCGACAGCCAACCAATTGAACATTTGCGTGTAGTTTCACCATCCATGACCTTTGCGCGGCGAAGAAACCCTGTGCCGGTCTCCGGTGGCTTGAGCCTGAGGGATTGGGCTTGCCTCCTGGATGGTGCACGAAGCTCGCTATGTCGCGAGACGTGCAAAACTCTTTCTGCAGGAATTCAGACGCTGGAATTCAACTCTACTTAACAGCCTGGCCTAAAGGAGCTGGCCACTAAGTACTTGGAAGGCCTCACTGCGATCTGCTTGGCTCATCAAGGACCCTTTGAGACTGTCGAGCGGGTTCATGTTCATATGTATGCACTTCTCAGAATAGTCTACACGCAAATTCGCCTACGGACCTGGTTCATCGTTGCTGATGCTAGGCTGGCCTTCCACAACATCCCAGCATAGCTGTTGCACAAGAGCCCGTGTCATCCTGCATAGATGGTGCACAATTGGTAATTCGAGGCAACTGGTCTTTCTGGCTTACCTGGCGATTCTGGTTCAAGCTGGAATCCACAGGGATGCAGGGATGCATGGCTGGGAATTTGGTGGGAATTTGGTGCATATCTGTATGAAGGCTTACAGACAGCTGGGCAACATGAATTCGATGCAATCTGGATGCAGAGCATTTGACTGCCTGCTTGGGAATTTGGTAAAAATTGGGTGCATCTCTGCATGGATGCTTACATACAGCTGAGCGACATGAATTCGATGCCGGGCTTTCTGTATCATGAAACCCTTTCAAGGATATACGCTGCAATACAGGGAGCTGCCGACACCCCTGCATGGATGATACCTCTAGTCCAAATTTCCTCCTTTCTGCATGGATGCATTGCATACAAGGGCATGGACGACAAGCATGGGTTGGGAGTTCGCGGCAACTGGACCGGACCTCTGGCCTAACTTGCCCCACGAGTGGGTAATGCTGCGGACGGCCTGGATGGTTCCTGCCTTCACTGCATGTCTCTTGAGAACATATCTTTTCACTCTACCAGCTGAAGACACACACACACACAGAGACTGGAATTTGGTTGCAACGTATTGCATGCTTTGCATGGCTGGAAGGTTTGGAAGCTGGTGCAGAATTCGCTGCATGACGATTTGCAGGAACAAACAGCCTCAGTATACCATAGTACACTTCGCTGCTGCATGCCACTTGACGCGTGGCTTTGTAGCAAATTGAAGAGTGACCGGGAATTTATTGTGTCATCGACTGATGAGCTGCATGTGCTCTTTTCTGGACGCTTGTGCAATCACGATACTGGTACCTGCTGAACATGCTGCATGGACGAGTTCACGCCTAGTGGGTTTTTGTTCGGATAAATGATGCCTGCACACCCTGAGTTTGCCTTCTGGCTAAAAAAGGCACACGGAGCCCAAGTCTGTTTCTATGCATGTCCTTGCATGAATCTGCGTCGTGAGGACATTGCATGCATGTCAAGCACAAATGTAAATACCGGGGCCCAAGGTTTCACAAGTCTGCCAAGCGGCTGAACTAGGTCGTGGGTTTGGGTGTAGGCGTTTGCTTTTATGGTAAACTACTGCCAGATGATGCCTTGAATATTTGTTGTGCACTTGTTCGTGTCCTGTCGTTGGCCTTACCTGACCGTGTTTTGTACTGGGTGATACGTGATAAGTCTAAGTGCAATCCTGGCTTCTGAGACCAGTCTTGTCCGAGTGTGAGTGTCCAAAAAAGCGCGATAACCTCCTCGATCACGATTCTCGAAAAGCTGCCGTGCAGAGGGAGTGGGTAGCCCGAAGAATCCAAAGACTTCCGTTTGTGAACACCCTGTCGGATGTTCGGGGCTCCATTCGCAAGAGGCGCGTCTTCCGTTGAGGAGCACTTTGAACTGAAGCCCAGCAAGGTCGGTCCGATTCATTGATCAGAGACAGAGGCATGTTTGCGGTCGGTTCAGGGTTCGACAAGGCCATGTTCGGTATCCACGCATTTCACTTGAGCGAGCC